ATAACACAGTGTTGTCAACTATAGGCTCCATGCTGTATATTACATTCCCAGAACTTATTTGTAACTGGAAGTCTGTGCCTTTGAGTATAGTTGACAATATTACATTAGTTTCAGGTGTACAGCACAGTGATTAGACTACCAATTATGCTATGCTCATCACAAAAGTAGCTACATCTGTAACCACACAGCGGCATTACAATATCAGTGACTATATTCCTTATGCCTTTCATTCCTGTGACATTTCATAACTAGAAGTCTGTATCTCCCACTCCCCTTCACCCATTTTGCCCATTCCCCCACCCCCTCCCGTCCACAAAGCATATGTTTGTTCTCTGTATTTACAGGTCTGATTCTGCCTCTTATTTATTCATTTTTTTAGATGCCACATATGAATGAAATTATATGGTATTTATCTTTCTCAGTCTGACTTACTTCACTTAGCTAGCATAATACCCTCTAGGTCCATCCACATTGTTACAAATGACACAGTCCCATCCTCTTTTTATGGCTGAGTGATATGCCTGTGTGTGTGTGTGTGTGTGTGTGTACATACATACATATATATATGTACCACATCTTTCTTACCCATTCATCAATCAGTGGACTCTTCCATATCTTGGTTATTGTAAATGATTCTGCAATAAACAAAGAAGTGGATAGATCCTTTCAAATTACTGTTTTTGTTATCTTTGGGTAAATTCCCAGTAGTTGAATTAATGGATCATATGGTATTTCTATTTTTAATTTTTTGAAATTATACTGTTTTGCACACTGGCTGTTCCAATTTACATTCCCACCAACAGTGAACAAGGGTTTCTTTTTCTCTACATTCTAACACTTGTTACTTCTTTTTTATTTTAGGCACTCTGACAATGTGATGTCTCATTGTGGTTTTGATTTGCATTTCCCTGATGATGAGTGATGTTGAGCATCTTTTCATGTGTCTGTTGGCTATCTGTATGTCTTCTTTGGAAAAACGGTCCTGTGCACATTTTCTACTTGGATTATTTGTGTGTGTGTGTGTGTGTGTGTGTGTGTGTGTGTGAGAGAGAGAGAGAGAGAGAGAGAGAGAGATGGCTAAGTTCTTTATATATTTGGATATTAACTTTGTCAGATGTATCATTTGCAAATATCTTTTCCCACTGAGTAGGTTTTTGGCCTTTTTGTTTTGGTGGTGGTTTCCTTCACTGTGCTGCAAAAGCATATTTTGATGTAGTCCCAATAGTTTATTTTGGGTTTTGCTTCCCTTGCCTTAGGAGACATATCTAGAAAAATGTCTCTATGGCGAATGCTAGAATCACTGCCTGTTTTCTAGGAACTTTATGGGTTTAGATCTCACATTTAAGTCCTTAGTCCCTTTTGAGTTGATTTTTGTGTATGGTATCAGAAAGTGGTCCAGTTTCATTCTTTAACATGTAGCTGTCCAGTTTTCCCAACACCATTTATTGAAGAGACTATCTTTCATTGTATATTCTTGTCTCCTTTGTCATAGATTATTTGACCATATAATTGTAGGTTTAATTCTGGGTTCTTTCTTCTGTTCCATTGATCTATGTGTCTATTTACATACCACTACCATACCGCTTTACTACAGCTTTGCATAGTATACCTTGAAATCTGGAATTGTGATACCTCCAGTTTTGTTCTTTATTGAGGTTGCTTTGGCTCTTCAGGGTTTTTTGCAGTTCCATGCAAATTTTAGTAATTTTTTAATTTTGTGAAAAATGCGGTTGGTATTTTGATAGGTATTGCATTGATTCTATAGATTGCTTTGCGTAATGTACATTTTAACAATGATGGGGCACCCGGGTGGCTCAGTTGGTTAAGCGACTGACTTCAGCTCAGGTTATGACCTCACGGTTCAGGAGTTCGAGCCCCATGTCAGGCTCTGTGCAAACAGCTCAGAGCCTGGAGCCTGCTTCAGATTCTGTGTCTCCCTCTCTCTCTGACCCTCCTCCACTCACACTCTTTCTCTCAAAAATAAATAAATACTAAAAAATATTTAAAAATATGTATACATTTTAACAATGTTAATTCTTCAAATCTAGAAGCATGGAATATCTTTCCATTTGTTTGTGTCATCTTCAATTTCTTTCATCATTGTTTTATAGTTTTCACAGTACAGGTCTTTCACTTCTTTGGTTAACCTCCTAGGCATTGTATTCTTTTTGGTACAGTTATAAGTGTAGTTTAATTTCTCTTTCTGCTACCTTATTAGTATATAGACATACTACTGATTTCAGAGCATTAATTTTATCTACTTCAAATTTACTGAATTCAATTCACTTATTAGTTCTAACAGGTTTTTGATGGAGCCTTTAGGTTTTCTATGTATAGTATCACAGTCATCTTCCAATAGTGATAGTTTAACTTCTTGTTTAACAAAATGAATACTCCTTTTTCTTATCTGATTGCTGTGGCTACGACTTCCAGTAGCATGTTGAATACAAGTGGTGAGGATGGACATCCTGGTCTTATTCCTAATCTTAGAGGGAAAGCTGTGTTTTTCATATTCAGTAAGATGTCAGCTGTGGGTTTTTCATATAGGTCTTTATTGTGTTGAGGTATGTTTCCTCTAAACCTACCTTGTTCAGAGTTTTTATCATGAATTGATGTTGAATTGTATCAGATGCTTTTTCTGCATCTGTTGAGATGATCATATGATTTGTATCCTTTGTTTTGGTGATGTGGCGTACCACATGGTTGATTTGTAAATACTGAACTATCCTTGTATCCCCAGAATAAATCCCACTTGATTGTGGTGAATGATCCTTTTAATGTATTGTTGGATTCAGCTTGCTAATATTTTGTTGAGTTTTGCATCTATGTTCATCAGGGATATTGGCCTATAGTTTTCTTGTTTTGTGGCGTCTTTGTCTGGTTTTGGTATCAGGGCAATGCTGGCTTCACAGAATGCATATGGAACCTTTCCTTCCTCTTCTATTGTTTGAATCATTTAGGAGAATAGGTTTTAACTCTTCTTTAAATGTCTGGTAGAATTTACCTATGAAGCCATCTGTTCCTGGACTTTTATTTTTTTGTTAGTTGTTTTTAAATTACTGATTCAGTTTCATTACTAGTAATCAACCTATTCGGATTTATTTCTTGATTCAGTTTCAGAAGATTGTACGTTTCCAGGAATTTATCCATTTCTTCAAGGTTGTCCCATTTGTTGGCATAGGTTTATCTTTTCCAAGAACTAGCTCTTGGTTTCATTGATTTTTTTTTTTTCTGTCTCTTATGTCATTTATTTCTGCTCTGATCTTTACCATTTCCTTCCTTTTACATCATTTTACCTTGGGCTTTGTTCTTCTTTTTTAAGTTCCCTTAGATACAAGTTTAGATTGTTTGAGCTTTTTCTTGTTTCTTGAGGTAGGCCTGTATCACTACACATTTTCCTCTGAGAACTGCCTTTGCTGTCGCCCAAGATTTTGTTGTGTTTTCATTTTCATTTGTCTCCACATATTTTGATTTCTTCTTTGCTTTGTTGACCCATTGGTTGTTCAGTATCATGTTGTTTAGCCTCCTTGTGTTTTTTCCCCTATTTTTTTCTTGTGATTTATTTCTAGTTTCATACTCTACGGTCCAAAAAGATGCATGGCATGACTTCAGTCTTCTTAAATACTAATTATATAGATGTTCTCCTGTACATCATGTGTCATTTTTCTCAGGCTACTTTCAAGATTTCTTCGGCTTTCAGCAGTTTGACCATGATGTATGCCTGGGAAATCTACTTCATGTTTATCCCGCCTGAGGTTCACTGAACTTCATGGATCACTTCCAGCTGCAGTTTTTAAGAGTAATCTCTCCTCTGGCTTGCATATGCTCTGGTAAACTTTCCAGTGTCTTAAAAAAAAAAAAAATGTTTTTAACGTTTGCTCCAGATTTAGTCATTGCTATCTGTGGAAGGATTTACACAACCAACTCACTCGACCACCAGTAAATTCCCTCTTACTATTAGGTTTAGAAAAAAAGGCAAAGGAGCGCCTGGGTGGCTCAGTCAGTTAAGCGTCCAACTTTGGCTCAGGTCATGATCTCATTGTTCATGATTTCAAGCCCTGAATTGGGCTCTGTGCTGACCACTCAGAGCCTGGACCTTGCTTCAGATTCTGAGTCTCCTTCTCTCTCTCGACCCCTCCCTGGCTCTGTCTCTCAAAAATAAATAAATATTTTTAAAAAGGTTAAAAAAAAAAAAAAGGAAAAAAAGGTAAATATGTACGTCACACATTCACAAAGACAAATCTCTATAAATTGGGACTCACTAAAAAGCAAACACCTTTATCTTCTATCACTGTGGTATTTAGCCAGCAACAGAACTTGGAGAGAGCAGTGAAGGATAAAAGCTAGAATGCAGTGTATAGAAAATGGGTTTGATCGTCAAACATTTTCTTCTTGGGAATGATGTTTGACAGTTTGCGCCTGATGGATTTTTTGGAGGGGGCAACATCTTCCTGTGTGCTCTTTGTGACTATGCAGATGTCATATGAATAGCATGTTGTATGTAAATTATCACTGAGCATACTTAGTGTGCTTGAAGGAAGAACATAGTGTTTGGGGCTCACAAGTGTACTCTGATTGGAAATGTGGAAGAAGTTACAGCTATTCTTGTACGTTGATAAGTTCTAAAAACTGTGCCCATCCAGAATAAGGGCTATAAGGTAGAAGGGAGGAGAGAAAACAGAAATCATATTGAAACATAATCCAACTGCGGAAGCTAAAACATGAGGGAAATGCCTTATATGCTTTGGATCTCAGAGCTCTGGGAATGCCTACTCCGGAGATATACCCTTCCTCCTTCCCTTCCCTCCCTGTCCCACCCCCCTCCTCCCTTATTTCCAGCTCTGCAGACTAAAGGGCAACCGTCTGCCTGGGCACAGACCCATGACATCAAACATCATGTCACAGGAAGAAGACTTTTACACCATTACTGGGAAAAAGAATTTAGTTTGGGTAAAACTAAAAACCGGGGTTTTTTTGTTTGTTCTTTTCCTTTGTGGAAGGAAAAAGGAGTGGAATACATGAAGAAAATCATCCATTCTCCATGTCCCAAAGCAAGACACCTACAATTTGCAGCTGCCTACAACCTTGGAAGAGCTTATTATGAAGGGAAAGGTGTCAAACGATCAGATGAGGAAGCTGAAAGGTAGTCTTACCTGAAAACAAGTGTTTTTTTTTTTTTTTCTTTTTAATCAAATGCTGACACAAAGAGTAACTTGCCCTTTTTTCTTTTAGACTGTGGCTTTTTGCTGCAGACAATGGAAATCCAAAAGCTAGTGTGAAAGCTCAAAGTATTCTAGGATTATATTATTCCACAAAAGAACCCAAAGAATTAGAAAAGGTAACACTGATCTATTTGTTTTTAACGCCAGCACCTCGCATAGATTAATATTTATTTCAGAAATTAATAATAATTTCTTTTCTGAAGGGAGGGCAGTAAAGAATGAGTGTCTAGTTTTAAAGATCTCTTACATTTCTTTAAAGTGTAAAGAAAGTTTACAGTTTGGGATCTCAAAGCTCATTTTACCCTTTACTCATCTATGGTCTACCTTTTCCCTACCTCTACCAAAGGATTCCACGGATGTGAGAGCACTTTCTACACTATAAAAAGCCACACGTACAAAATATTTTATACCATGAAAGCTGAGAGAGTCCTAAAATATGGCCCAAATCCTATTATGTGCATAAATTAATTTGTTCTGAGAAAGTAATGATGCTAGTAAGTAAAATACACACGAAAATGAGTTAAAAAGTAAATCCATTTACGACTTTTGCATAAATACAATCTCTTTAATCATCAATGATTGAAACATTTTCCAAGAAATCGTATGGGTTGGAGGAAACGTAGGGCCACGTGCTACTTGTAAGAGGCATGAAGAACAAACTCACAAGAAACACCACCCGAACAAGACCCTCTTTGGATAACTAAGCAGCCACTTGGAAATAATTCTGTGAACCAATTCAAAGTCACTGTAGCTGAGTACTGAGCAAATGGGCTTGCAACCACATGCAGCTTTTATCTCGGCTGCCTGGGATAGACAGGCGCCACCTCTGAGATCTCGGCATCAGCAGCTCTCTCCTCTCCCTGCTGGGCCTCATCGCAGGGTGTCTCAGAGCCTAGCAGACACTTAGTTCCTACCTCCTACCTTCCTGATCCTTCCTCAGGAAACACCAGAAAATCTTGAATCCTAGGACAGTTGAACTGGCTAGGCTGTGACCTCCAACCTCTCTTTTGGATATGTGAAACTGGCGCTCACCTGAAACACACACAAGGTGCTAAAACTGTTTCCTAGGATAAGTTATGCACACTATCTCATAATTAAGAGATTTTTTCTTTCTTTCCCGTATTCCCTTATAATTTTGCCTGGTGGGTAACAAAGATGAAATTGTGCTTTTTCTTAGGCATTTTATTGGCATTCAGAAGCGTGTGGCAATGGAAACCTGGAGTCCCAGGGTGCACTTGGGCTGATGTATTTTTACGGACAAGGCATCCGCCAGGACCCTGAAGCTGCCTTCCAGTGCTTAAGGGAAGCGGCAGAACGTGGAAACGTCTATGCTCAAGGGAATCTCGTGGAGTATTACTATAAGATGAAATTTTTTACTAAGTGTGTTACATTTTCCAAAAGGTAAATAAGCTGGATAAAAGTATTTCCAAAACCTCCTCCCAGATGTTCTATGCCAGGTCTGTTCAATAGAACTTGCTACAATATTGGAAATGACGGCTAGTGAGCACTTGAAATGTGGCAAGTGCAACTGACGACTCACCTGTTACATTTCATTAGATTTTGGAAGAGTCTAATTCTGTGCTATCAGTCTTCAGGATTTCAGTGTTATTCACTCTGTGTACCAGCTGATGATCTTAATCACGTTTGACTTTTGGGGGCATGAATTTCCTTTTTTTATAAAGAAGAAAATACCTCCATAGGATTACTAACATAGTGCATATAAAGTACTTAACATAGCTTAGCACATCAGAAATGCTTATTAAATATGTTTTAATTTCTTCATAGACTCTTCAGCCACATGTTCTATGACTGCACAATTGCAAGATAGCTTGATAAAGATTGTAAAATGAGAATGGCTAAGAGATGCCAGTATTAACACCTTATAAAATATATGGAGATTCTCTTCTCTGAGTCCATGTACTTTCCCCACATTTATTTACTCATAATGTACAAAAGCAATATACCAGGAAAAACAGGCGTGGATGTCCCCTAGAGAGGCTGTAAGGCCATGCTGATGTATTTCCCTCCCAATAATGCCTGACAGAGCCCCTGGGACCCCCTCTTCCCTCACCCAGTGTGGGGCAGTCATCCACAATGTTGCCTGAAGGACTTGGTTCCACCCTCTCCCCAACATCATGGCTCCCAGGGAGCAGGTCACTTACAAGTGTGGTCCCCAAAGTCCCTAAAGTCTAAGTGCCCATCTGGTTAAAACCAAGACTTTAAAATCTGTCAAACTTTCCATTACTGTCCACATTCCTACTCCTCATAATATCACGGGTGACATGAGGTTAAGTAGATCCCATTTTCTTTATTTTTTTTTATAAATTTTTTTTTTTTCAACATTTTTTATTTTTATTTTTGGGACAGAGAGAGACAGAGCATGAATGGGGGAGGGGCAGAGAGAGAGGGAGACACAGAATCGGAAACAGGCTCCAGGCTCCGAGCCATCAGCCCAGAGCCTGACGCGGGGCTCGAACTCCCGGACCGTGAGATCGTGACCTGGCTGAAGTCGGACGCTTAACCGACTGCGCCACCCAGGCGCCCCTAAGTAGATCCCATTTTCACACAACCCTCTAGACTTGTGTCAGGGTTATGAAGGAGGACTTTTTTTGCCCACTTTTTAACAAAGATAGATGTGTAAGTTTCTTGATATGTTTTCTGATCCTATGTGACTGAAGTCCAAATTTAAGGTCAATGTTTGAATAAATGATTCAAAGAAATAGAAAATGCTTTTTCCCCATTGTTTAAATCTGCAAGGTGTTATTAAGTTTAAAATATTATTATTATGGGGTACCTGGGTGGCTCAGTTGGTTAAGCATCCAACTTCGGCTCAGGTCATGATCTCACAGTTTGTGGGTTCGAGCCCCGCGTCGGGCCCTGTGCTGACAGCTCAGGGCCTGGAGCCTGCTTCGGATTCTGTATCTCCCTCTCTCTTTGCCCCTCCCCCACTCACGCTGTCTCTCCCTCAAAAATAAATATTCAAAAAAATTTTTTTAAAATATTATTACTATAAGAAAATAAACTTTTGTGTTTTCTAGTGGTTATTAAGCCGGACTGACAAGTATGATTATAGAGAAGCTGTGAAGTAAACTCTTTGTTAGCTCCTCTTCCCTTGGTTTTAACTGGCGGTTTTATTTACCCTTCACCACAAAACAAATACCACAAACAACTTAGTTCTCAAACAGGTGGAAATAGGGAAATTACTTTGGGCACCACTTCTGAACATGCAATTTGTAAAAATGTAAACTAGAACTCATGTCCTTTTTAACTTCACAATTAAATGTCGCCACAGGATTGCTGACTACGATGAAGTTCATGACATCCCTACGATAGCCCGGGTCACAGACTGTCTCCCAGAATTCATCACCAGAGGCATGGCCATGGCATCCTTCTACCACGCCCGATGTCTTCAGCTTGGCTTGGGGGTCACAAAGGATGAAGCGACAGCGAAACACTACTATTCTAAAGTAAGGAAGCCTGAGCACAAACAACATTGACTCAAATAGAAATTTCTGAGTTTTTAGTTAAGACTTGAACATCTTTATGGATTAGTATTTTTCCTACTTAATTATTGCACAGATAATCTGTCTAGGAGAGGTTGTCAGACACGTAGATTATTTGCAGACAGTTCTGCCAGATTCCTATTAGCATAATTAAACTCAGATGGTAAAAGTTCCATTTTGATGCAAATTATTCTCACTCACCCTGCCACCCTCTGGAGCCTAAGGGCCAGCAACAAGACCTTATAGCCAGAGTATTCATGCCTCCTTCTAACCAGAAGTATGAACCTATTCTCATTCTAGTACCTTAATGAAATAGAATAAATAAACTTAAAAAAAAAAAAAAACCTGAGAGAGAGAGAAAGAGAGAGAGCAAGCATGCAAGCAGGGGAGGGGCAGAAAGAGAGGGAGAGAGAGAATCCCAAGCTAAGAGTACAGAGCCTGACGCGGGGCTCAAACTCACGAACTGTGGGATCATGACCTGAGCCAAAACCAAGAGTTGGACACTTAACCAACTGAGCCACCCAGGCACTCTGAAATCTAGTTTTTAAATTTTTTTTTTTAATGCATGACATCAACCACACTTTCTGCACACTACCCAAACTCAATCATGAGTTTGAGGTGATCAGTTGAAGTAAGACTTTCCTTGTTTTAATCCATTTGGATTAGCTCCCAAATGGATTTCACCTCTAAAATCAAGCAACTTAGAAAGTGGGAAGGGAGTGAGAAAGGGGGGGAATCATCATGAATAGTAACTGTAAGTAAAGTTTTAAAAAAATAAACACACACACACACACACACACACACACACACACACACACAACTGCATGTCTTAGGTCGATGACATCCATGAAGTCCAAAGTAGAATTATACCTTATTAAAACTTATAAAGCAATTCATGAGGTGCACAAATTGTTTAGCTGGAGCAGGTGAACAAGGCAAGGAACAATTTTCCGAGTCCTCTGCCTGAATCTGACCATTTAACAGCAGTGGTTCTCAACCTTCTCTGCATATTAAAATCACTTGGGTATTTTTAACAAATTCCAAAGCCCAAGTATTATTTCAGAACAATTAAATCATGTTCTCTGAGAGTGCAACCCAAGTGTATTTGCTGAAAGCTCTCCCGAGGACTCCAATGTTCAGTTAACTTTTGGAACCCCTAAATTAATTTGTTTGAAATTAAAATTTCCACAGCATTAAGCCCATATCAACACATAAATATAGGAACACAGTACACAAATTCAACTGAGATATTTACCATCACACCATTCTGTTAGTATGAAAAATCGCTGTCTTCAACTTTTTACAAAATCTAAATGTTCTCTGTATTATACTGATTTCCAAACGAAGTCAATTTCAAATTCTGTGTTATCCTTCATGTCTTTTCCAAATAAACAGAAGCAGAGAAAACTCTGAGTCAACAAAATCCTGAAATGTGGTATATGTTCATCCTAAATAAAACAGCGAAACAAACAGACTGCAACCTTAAAAGTGTTTTTCCCAGGATGGGAGAAAATATCCCCAGTATTCAATTTGGGCCATTGTCTTTTACAGGAGATGCTTTTAACAAGGGAAAAGATTCCAAAGTAGTAGGCCAGTGAAGGGTCTGGAATCCTGTCCCATGAGCATAAATTGAGTATTTTATTTAGAAACAAAAGGACAGGAGTCCAGACAGTCGTCTTCACCAGACTGAAAGGCTGTCCCACAGAAAAGGAACAGCAGGGCGGGGAGCAGAATGATAGCCAACAGCAGCGTGTTAGGCAGGGGGAAAAGATAAGGCCCTGGCTGGTGTGGAGACAGGGGGCCTACAGTCAGGAGACCCACACTTGCTCTCAGCTCTGCCACCGTCAGGATGGTGACTGCCAACCACCTTGCCCCCCAGGATCTCCATGAAACCAGCTTTACATATTCTCCTAGGACCTTTACTGCTTCTAATGCATATGGAAGGAAACTTAAGCTGAGTACAAAGCAGGATCTTCTAATACAACTGTTTGGAAAATAAACAAAAACAAAAGGTTTCCTATAAGATGGTGACTTAGTAACCAAGCAACGAGTGAGCAATCTAGTGAGCAACCGTCATGGGTACTGAAGGGAAACTGTCATGGGTACTGAAGGGACACTTACTGCATGGAGTGCGGTCTGGATGAGATGATGATCACGGATGTCTCTTCCAGATTCCTGACGTTCTATGTAGTTATATGCACTGTTACTTAACGCTATTTATCATAACAAAATGTTACTTTAAAGTACGATTCTCGGGGCGCCTGGGTGGCGCAGTCGGTTAAGCGTCCGACTTCAACCAGGTCACGATCTCGCGGTCCGTGAGTTCAAGCCCTGCGTCAGGCTCTGGGCTGATGGCTCGGAGCCTGGAGCCTGTTTCCGATTCTGTGTCTCCCTCTCTCTCTGCCCCTCACCCGTTCATGCTCTGTCTCTCTCTGTCACAAAAATAAATTAAAAACGTTGAAAAAAAAAAAAATTTTAAAAAAAATAAAGTACGATTCTCATAGATGCTGCTTTTCATATAATAAGATAATAGCGAGTTTGAGGCCAAATGTTAATGCTTTCCATGTTACTTATTTTAATAATTCCTAACATAGAATGCTACCATTAAATTCCCTTTATTCTTGGCACTGATAAAATTTTCTCTTTCAAGTGCCAATAGCATGGTAATTTTCAGGGTGATCTGTTTTGCAGAGGCTAATTTGAACTTCCTTAATCAAGAAATCAAAACAGAAATGAATCTTAAGAAATTACCTTAAAATCATTGTACTTCTTAAAAAGAAAAAAAAACTTTTTAAAAGGAAGAAAAAAAGAAAGACCCAACAATTCAAAATGTATCTAAATATAACTGACTCTCTCTCTCTCTCTCTGATTTTAAGGCGTGCCGTCTGAACCCTGCATTGGCAGATGAACTTCACTGTTTACTTATACATCAAAGAATTTAGATCATAATGCGTTTCAACAAAGACCATCAACCCTGGCACCTTAGAACGGTGTGTGTTTTTATAGTCGCTACGCTGTTTGGTTATTTTCTGCATCCCAAGTTACAATATCCTGGGTATTCTGATGACATGTTACCTTTGTTCTTACATCTGTAATTTTATAACTCAAAACCTTAGGTATAGGATCTGATTGCTAAATGAGTCCTTAAAGATCCAGCTCTTTGCCTACAGACTGGCCTAGATCATATCAAATAGAGAAAAACACTCCCTAAAGAAAATTATCTTTTTTTTTTTTTAAATACGGAGTGTCTAAAAGACTTAGTGCAGTCTTAGCTTTAATAACTTCAAAAGTATAAATGCTACAAACTTATAAAAAAACACTGAAAGCTTAACTCTTTAAAATTTCTTTGACCCTCACTTAGTTTTGTGAATTTTGGATTATTAATTTTAATTTGTTGTTTTTCATTAAAAATTTTTAAATTTAAGGGGCACCTGGGTGGCTCAGTCAGTTAAGCATCTGACTTCAGCTCAGGTCATGATCTCGCGGTTTGTGAGTTTGAACCCCGCATCAAGCTCTGTGCTGACAGCTCAGAGCCTGGAGCCTGCTTCAGATTGTGTCTCCCTCTCTCTCTGACCCTCCCCTGCTTGCATGCGCTCTCTCTCACAAATAAACATTAAAAAATCTTTAAGATTCATAAAACTATTAAAAAGAATTTAAAGAAACTTTCAAATAATGTTCTTTAATTGTGTAGCATTTATACTTCCAAAGCAATTAAAGCTAAGGCTGTACTAAGTCTTTTGGGACATCTTGTATTCTTAAAAGAAATTCTTTTAAATAGTTGGCTAATTTATTATCAACTTCAAAAAAAGTAGGTTTAAGAAACTGCTTAGAATCTTCCCTTAAAGATCTTAATGAATAAGACAACTGCTATATTCCCGATAAGATAATCAGTTAAGAGAGATGTTTCTTTGTGCTTAGACTCATTTGCTAGATTAAAAAAACCTTAAGATTCATTTCAAAGCAAAGTAAAATGTGAAAAAAATTTCAAATCATCTCTCAATATAAGAACTGAATCTAAATATGTTAAAATTTTTAATTAGGCTTTCCTTGCATTAATGAGGTCCATAAAGATAAAAGCTGATAATACAAATAATAGGATCCACATGGAGAAGACTGTATAGCAATATATGTCTGAAACAGATACACTGAAAACAATGTCTTAAAGATACCTTATCAACACCTTCCTGTAAGCATACACTGATGTGGCTTTATTTTATAAATCACTACCATCCTTTCTGAAAGTGGGTTTAAACAGGATCTCATCTTAGTACAATTAATCCGTAGGCATCAGGCACTAAAGAAGTATGTATGGTAGAAAATTACTTGCTCTTGTCTCATGTTCCGCTTTGTCTATGTTACTTGAACTTCATTTTGCCACTCTATAAAAAGGAAAGCAATTTCAACAGACTTAGGTCTGTGAGATGCCCTCAATGATCACATACTTCTCTCTTAAATCTCTTAAGACGGATAAACTGAAACCATTCCTGAAAACTAATCCTTTTCTTTTAAATTCTCTACCGAAGACTCCCTCATTTCCTCCAGGAACGTGATTCAATACATCAAACCCTTTGTAAGATTTCACACTACCTAGCTTACATCTCTTCTACAATATAAGCCCACTTGCTCTGCTCCTAATACCATCCATACATGGTATTCCTTCAACCATCGGAAGATCTAAATCCCCAACCAGTATTCTTTTCTCCACACTTAATCCAGTCCCTTAAGCCTGTAAGAATCCGAAAAGTGGAATGTAATAAGGCAGTGCTTGTTGGTTTTACCAGCACACTTGATAGATAAGCGAATCTTCCTTCATCCCAGAGACCACTTTTTTGACTGCCATTAAAACACAGGTCTGAGAAATCCCCAGCGTAGGAATTTGACACGCGTCATATGTGGTAATATGCTACGCTTAAGTGTCTTCAGTAAATCCGACACAGAATTCAAAATTTCAGTTTACTGTAGTTACCATAAAGGGGGTACTTCTGGCACAGACGAGCCCTTGCAAACTACCACTGCTGCAGACCGTGGCACACACCTTGACCTGTGAATGGAGTCTCACTCTTTAACTCACGTTGAGTTGAGGCTTCCGGATCATTAATCTTAAAACAAAAAACAAAACAAAACTTCTAAGATTCCTTATAGCTGATAGCTCATGACAAAGTTGAAATTTACCTTCAAGAAAGATTGAGGAGTCAAAATAGTTATTTTTCTCACTTGCAGTGGACACTTGTAACTGCTATGGTTTAATTACACACAAGGTGGACATTACCAGTAACTGTGTTACGATGACATCCTGAGGCTCGGTGATTTCATTTGCTTCTCTTATCTGAATGTGTCTTTTCTACATCCCTGTGAAGGATAATTCTTACTCATACAAACAGCCAACTTTGGTTTTTTTCTCAAGGGTCAAATATCATCCTGGTTTGAAAAAAAAAAGGATCAAAGAGCCGTGACTAAAAGAATCCCAAAGATAAAATTTGGTGTACTAATTTTTAATCGTTTACTTTTTAGAACTTATGTTTCATATCGAGAACTTGGCAGGTATGATCTAGTAATGCCATAATCAGTACCACTTGAGTATAGATACAGTAGTTTTCTTTCATGGATTTCAAACTGAATTTTTGCCCATTATTTTGCTTTCAATGTTCCTGGGGGCTACAGAGAGGCAAGTGTTTTATTATCGCTGCATGATAGATGGTGAATGTTTATTAAGTGACTTGTTCATGGCTCCACTATTGATAACAAAACACCCATACCCTGGATCTCACCTAAAGCCCGAGTCCACAAGACCTGATGATATAATCAAGTCCCCAAAGTCCCTTAAGTCCCTTCCCACCTGTGTTTCCCTATCTCATTCCTGCCCACCCTTCAAAGCCCGGCTCCTATCCCACTCTCCCGAACACATCATTTCAAGCACTAATTTGGCTCTTCTCATTCACACTAAAAATCAGATTTTTTCACATATTCATTCTGTGTCTGGAGGAAGGCAGCCAACTGTATACCTCCTTGGAGAAATCCTTAGGTGCACAATGGTTTTGCCAAACAAAACAAAAAAATTACTCGATAAATATTTGAACTGCCTGATGTATTTTAACCTCAGGTTTTTGAGACGTAAGCACCTTAAATATCATAGAGCTCTGTGATTCATTTTTATATTTTATTGCTTCAAATGCTTCAAACTATGGGAAATCTTTGGTAAAAATAAAGACAAAAAAATTTTCACAAGAACTTTACACAAAGCATTGCACAACAATGTTCTTCAATACACATGAAATAATAGAGGAATGTTCAGAGTCCTCAGTGAGGAAAGTAACTGTACAGTATTCATAGTTCTTCATTTTAAAACAAAACAGTTTTCATAAATATTTAAAATATTTCCTAAGTTCTTATCACATATTAACATCTGTATTTCAATCAGTGTGTTGAACTTATATTATTATTAAAATAAAAATAATTAACAGAAGTGTGTTTTTCTGTTACCTGTGACAGCATCAAGTTCTCCCTCCCCAACCAATTCCGCTCACTTCCCACAAAACTAGAGGGAGGTAACTAACATAAAAATCAATATGGTTTTCAATCAAGCCCTCTGTGGAAAAGAGGAAAATATTTCATGTCTATTGTTACACAGACATTTCTCTGGTGGTTTGTTTGTGCAGTCTCAGACTTGGCCAGCTTTCAGCTGATCTAAATGACTTCTCAGCTCAGGACACAGCTCAATTAGCAGCAATTCCATCAGCACCTAAACCAAGAAAGAGGAAAAAAAAAAAAAAAGTAGAAAAATGTGGGATTTTTCTCTAAGGGTACACGCCTATGTCTAAGAGAAAAGTCTAATTTTAGGTCTAAGATGATTCTCCACGAACCACTCACTCTCAAATGAATGGAACTCATATAAGCTCCATTTAATATCAGATTGATTCATTTCAGGGTCTCCTTGCCATGTCACACCATCAACAGTATTTCATATTTAACATTATAATCAGACGACTTGGAAACAGTCTGCTTTGCTGAAGTACGAAAACTAAGCAGTCACACAAAAAGGTGATGCGCATCTGGTCTGAGAGAAGGACGGACTGCGCACTGGAGGCATGGTTTTTCCCTTTTCTTTTACCAAACTGAACAACTGAGCAGTCAGATGACAATGAAGCACAGTACATAAATGGGGTGAGAGTTATAAGCAACAAGAATGATTAAGTATGCAACCCCCACATGTGAACAGAAACGTAAAACTGAATTAACAGTAAATCCTCTGGTTGCCTTTCAATTACTCACAAATAACAGATGCTTATTGGCTCTTGTTTCCTGCAGTGCGTTGAAGATTTTTATTATACCATGCCGGGCATTTTGCTGTCCAACGAGGCTCTGAAGCGTATCTGAAAAATCAGGTTTACATCCTGTGCTACTACTGACAAAAAGTTTACAATCCACGCATATTCAGTGAAGGAGACAGGACACGGTGTACCCACAACAAATAAAGGCACTGGGGCAGGAGGGACATAAACGATCAGTTCTCTCAAATGTTTAAAGAGAAAATAAGTCTATTTAGAAGTTTTCGACATCAGGCATTTATACAAATTACAATTTGAATACATTGCTACCCAATTAAAAAGTAACCTCTCTAAACCGTGTACTCTGGCAGGATTTTTAAAGCACAAAACTTACTATCTGTTCTAAAACATTTTTCTAATTAAAAAAAGCATTACAACCACTACTGTTCTCATTAAGATTCTCAGTATAATTCCTTAGCAAGGGACAAGTTTTAAAAGAAAAAAAACTGATCATTTTTTTTCAACGTAAATAACGTTTTCTGAGAGATATAAATGAAAAACGCCTTAATAAAGTTAGTTCCCTTTGTGTCTCTGTACGTTTCAGGATCAGAACTGAGGCCTCACCTGGAATGTTTTCAAGCAGCTTCTGCTGTGCTCTCTGTTTTGTTTCCTGACTT